GATACACAATGTAGTCCTTAGGGCTTGAAAGGATTGTAAGATTCTTTTTTTTTCATAGTGGAAAACTCTCTCTACTTTTGCTGGGAGGAGTAGGTCTAGTTGAACCCTATTAAATCTTGTGTTATTCTTCTTCTCTACTTTCTATGTTTGTGATTGTCTGCTAGTTAATCCACAATATTTCTGCAACAATTGGTATCAGAGCTTAGTTAGGGTTTCTAGACATTATCAAGGGTTAAGATATCTCCATCATCTTCAACAAAACATAAAATTAAATTTTTTGATGACGGTTCTAATTTCAGTCTATGGAAGATTAGAATGAGATCGTCTTTGGTGTTAAAATGATTGTGGAAGGCAATCGAGAAGGATTTTACAAAAGAGTCGAAAGAATCAGAACAAGAAGACCTGAAGGAGAGGGCATTGAGTGTGATATTCATGACCGTTACTGATAACGTTCTTTTAAAAATTGATAAAGGAAAATTTTCTGCAACAACATAGAAGAAGTTAGAAGACATGTACTCTAAGATCGCTCACAAACCACCTCTACTTGAAAAATAGGTTATACAATCTCCGTATGAATGATGGTACACTGGTCAAAACTCACCTTGATGAGTTTAATTCAATTAAAATGGACTTGGAGAATGTAGATATCAAAATTGAAAGTGAGGATCATGCCTTATTGTGTTATGTTTGTTAGTACCATCTTATGATACTTTTGTTTATACATTGCTAAATGGGAAAGACAATATCTCACTTGATGATGTTAGTAATGCACTAAAATCTAAAGAGTTGAAGAAGAGCTTTTCGGATAGCAGAACTGAGGGTGAAGGTCTTGTAAGTAGGGGAAGAACACAACTGGAGGACTTTAATAGAAAACAATTTAATTTCAGGTTGAAGTCTAGAGCAAAAAAGTAGAATTGTTATGAGTATGGGGAGCAGGGTCATTACAAAAGAGATTATCCTAAATTAAAGGAGAAAAATGGAAAGTAGAAAGTTTATTACTCAGCAAATATTGTTCACATTGGAAATAATTCGGATGAAAATGACTATCTAGGGGAAGTTTCTGCTGTGAGTTCTGATCATAGGCACAATTATTGGGTTCTTGATTCTGGTGCAACTTTTCACATGTGTCCACACAAAAATTGGTTTGCAACTTACAAACAGACGAATGGGATTCTCTACCTAGGTGATGATAATCCATTTGAGGTATAGGGGATAGGTAACATCAAATTGAGAATGTTTGATAACATTATCAGAAATATTAAATGTTTGCATGTTCCTTGAATTAAGAGAAATTTGATTTCTCTTTTGACTTTGGATGATCAAGGGTATAAGTTTCACTCAGAAAATGGAACACTTAAAGTATGTAACGGCTCCATGGAACTCATGAAAGGTATGCTTCCGTCTAGACTGTATTATCTACAAGACAATGTAGTTGTAGGGGAAGCAATTGTAGCTTTCGGGAAGAATAATATGAATCAATCTCAATTGTGGCACTTGTGATTTGGTCTTATAAGTAACAAGGGATTGTCTTTGTTGAACAAGAGAATTTGTTGGATGGTTACAAAAATCAAGCTTTAAATTTTTGTGAGCAGTGGGTGTTTGGTAAGAAAATACGGGTGAAGTTCAACAAGAAGGCTATACACTAGACCAAAGACAAGCTAGATTATATACATTCAGACTTGTGGAGTCCAAACAGAATTCCCTCCACAAGTGGTGCAAGGTACTTTATGATTTTGATTGACGATTACTCAAGAATGGTATGAGTGTATTTATTTAAAACAAAAGATGAGGCATTTTCAACATTTATCAAATGGAAGTCGATGGTTGAGGCAGACCAAAAGAAAAGTTAAACGTCTTCAAACTAACAATGGTTTGGAATTTTGAAACTTAAAGTTCAATAAATTTTGTAGCAGAGAGGGCATAGTGAGACACCGCACTTGTGTTGGAACACCACAACAAAATGGTATTGCAGAACGTATGAACATAAGACTTTGTGATAGAGCACGAAGTATGCTTTCACTCATGTGTTTGCAAGACTTTTTGGGTTGAAGCAATCAATACAAATTGTTATTTGGTCAATAGATCTACATCTACAACTATTGAGTTTAAAACTCCCTTTGAAGTTAAGTCTGATTAGCCTGGTGATTATTCGAATTTAAGAATATCTGGTTGTCCTACTTATGCTCATGTAAGGGATGGAAAACTTGAGCTGAGGGAAAGAGAAGAAAAGACTCTGGGGTTAATTTGTGGCATTCAATGAATATACCTCATTAAACAGTCAAAAGGAAAAGGCTATAGCAGAAACATATCACAGTGTTAGTGACCGCATAGAGCTAGAAGGTGAATCTCCACTAGCTCAACCTAATAGTTTAGAAGTGGAGTAGGTGCAAGACATTAATCAGGATGATAATGATGATACACCTATACAACAACAATCATAAAGTATTTCAACAGGTAGGAAAAAAAGAGTGATCAACCAACCAAAAAGATTCGCAAACGTGGTTGATGAAAATCTTTAAGGATATGCAAATTTTATAGAATTTGTTTTATCAGAGACAATTGACGTGTTTGAGCTTAATAGCTATAAAAAAATTATTTCTAGTTCCAAAGCAGATAGATGGATTGGTGCAATTGGTGAAGATATGAAGTCTCTTCAAAAGAATCAAGCATGGAATTTGGTTTATTGTCAAGGGGACAAATGGTAGTCTAACATTATTTTATCTGATGAGATGTTATATCTAAAGGGGTTATTGATGAGAATAAAGTGTCTACACATGATAATTTAGTAGATATGATGATCAAGATAGTATGAATCAATAAGTTTAGGCATTGCCTAGACTTGATTGGTGTGAGTTGTACTTAGTAAGCCCTTTGGAGGGCAGGGAGCAAGGCAGACAGACGGTATTTCAATTGATGAAAATAATTCAAGCCAAGGGAATATTTATTAATTATGTCTTGAATTTTTCCTTATATATTTTAGGAAACTATAATTCATATATATTAGTTTAGGATACAATTTGTCCTAATAGATTTGGAAAAGGAAAATATTGTCCTTATAGAATTGGGAAAACATTTTCCTTATAGGTTTGGGACTACTTTGGAATCTATATATAGGAAGTATAGTTGGGATTCTAAAGCATTGTACATGATACACAATGTAGTCCTAAGGTCTTGAAAACATTGTAAGCTTCTTCTTTCTTTTCATTGTTGAATACTCACTCTACTTTTGCTGGGAGGAGTAGGCCTAGCCGAACCTCATTAAATCCTTGTGTTATTCTTCTTCTCTATTCTCTTTGATCATGATTGTTTGCTAGTTAATCCACAACATTTTCGTAACAATTATGCTTAGCAGGAATATAACAATGGTGAAGGAAATATATTTTAATGATTAAAAAGAGTTACTACTAAGAGAGAAGTTGGCTAGTCTAGTTATTTAAATAAGGAATCTAATTGTTGGTCATCAAAGAATATGAAAAAAGGACAAAAGGACTATTAGCCCCTACAACAATAACTACATATTCGGTTTTATCCCACAAGTGGGGTCTGAGGGGAGTAGGATGGTGTTTGACTGGACACAAAAGTCAAGTTATTGATTTACTTCTATTATGAAAGTAGAGATAGTTGGAGAAAGTATTAAAATAATAGTTAGAATATTGTTCTGTTTGAAAATAATTATATCAATACTTTAAATAGCTAGAATGGGCATATCTTGCTTCGGTGAAGACACTAATGTTATAGGCAAGGGCGGACCCACATACAACCTATTGGGTGCTCCAGCACCACAGTGGCGTAGCTATAGCCATCCTAGGGTGTCCACCCTTCGTCGAAAAATGACGTTGTATATATATATATATATATGTTAAATTCTATATTTAAATGATATATATTTTGAGTTGAACATCCTTGACAAAAGTTATGTCCTTAATGCAATGGTGATGGGTGTCCATTTGAATTAAGGAATTCTAGGTCCGAACCTCAAATAACAGAACATTTTTTTGTTTCTATGTTATTTCTTGAAATAGGAGTATATTAATCGAACAACATCTAGTGAATAAAAAGCCCAATGAGTTCTTTGGTTCAGTAGCTAGTTGAAAGGCTGTATTTTTTAGGGGAAGTTAAGTGTTCGATTCTTGCTAATAACAATTGTTTACACATTTCCTGTTTTCCTCTTTTTTCTCCCAATATAGTCTCACATGTTTTTCTCTCTTTACTTTCTTTGTATACTTAAAATTTTTAGTCTTAATTTCCTTTTTACGTTTTATGTAATTTCTTGTGACCTGTAAAAAAATAAAAGAAGTCATGCCCAAAGACTTTTCTTATTTTTCTCGAGAAATATTTGCTCTTTGGTTAAGAAATACTCCAAGCTAGTTTTTTCTTTCTTTCTTCTTGAGTAATGCTAATATTAATCTTATTTTTTCTCATTAATATTTTAAATTATTGCGTTAAAATACATTTCTATGTGATTTATAGTAATTTTATATTAAAGATGTGAGCATCCATAAATCAAAAATCCTAAATCCGTCACTGGTTATAGGGTTGTCAGGTGTCCATGTCATGTGCTTTCTATTTCATTTTTAGTTGAACTGCATATTGCTTTTTTTTTTCTGGATAACAAACAATAGAAGCTTCATTGAAATACATGATTTTTTGAGCATGCAGCTGATACTTGTACACATTTTTTGTTGTGACACTAAGTTTTGCTTTTGTTGCAAGATAGATTCGGAGCCTATGGATATCAACACAGACTCAACCCCATATGAAATTTCGAGTTCTGATTTAATGGTTTTGGAAGGACATACCTCAGAGGTTTGACCGCCACGATTTCATAATAGGCAAAAATACTAAATATCATCTCTTTTATGTCTTCTCTATAAAAATTACAATTGTTTCTTGTTTCTAAACTCATGTCAGGTTTTTACCTGTGCTTGGAGTCCAGAAGGATCACTTCTTGCATCTGCGTAAGCATTAGTTCCATTTCTTTTTTTTTGTTGCTCTCGTCTATGAAAAACTCATGGTCAAATTCTTTGAAGTGGTTTTTCCTTAGTTAAAAGGTTAAGAGTAGTTTTAGACTCGTCTAAGGAACCATCTCTCGTATAGCTAACCATGTGTAATATCAATTTAGGTCGGGAGACTCTACTGCTAGAATTTGGACTATTGGAGATGGTCCATGTAATTCTACTATCCAAAGGAGAACTCCAAATGTTTTGGTTTTGAAGCCTTTGGAAAGTCGAGCAACTAAGGAACACAAGGATGTTACAACACTTGATTGGAATGTGAGTTTTCTACTGGTCATTTTCATTGATCTATACTTTTCTGGTTGCTTGTAATTACCAATTTGATTTTCTTGTTATTATTCGATCTTGTATTTATGACTTTTTCTTGTACAGAGTGAGGGAACCCTACTTGCAACAGGTTCTTACGAAGGCAAAGTCAGAATATGGAACCGATATGGTAAGGGACATGGAGGAAAAACTTATTTTGAAGATTGAATGTATAAATTGACCATTGGAAAGTATAGTTCCGGAAATGCGTTTGCTAGATTGTTCTTTGGATTATTTTCATAATATACCACTACTTTTAATGTCTTGTTTATCTGATTGAAACTAAAAGACACCAAGAAACAATCCATTTTCTTGTTGATAAGCTTTTCACCCTGTCGAATCTATTCAAGAATGTTGAGTCCTTTTCATTGTTGTTCAAATATGCATGTTGTCCTCGTGTCTATTTTTCTCTTATTGATAATCCTATAACTGACTTTTCATTCAGGGGAATTGGTTAGAAATCTTAACAATCATTGTTGTCCAATCTTATCTTTGAAGTGGAACAAGATAGGTGATTATCTACTTAGCGGTAGTGTTGATAGAACTGCCGTTGTTTGGAATGTACAGTCTGGCAAACCGAAGCAGCAATTTGAATTTCCTTCAGGTGTTTTGTTTCCCTTGATCTGTCTTAATTTTTCTCTATATTTTACCTTATAGATTTTGTTTTGTTTTGAATTTATTCTCACTGTTGTTATACAACCCCATTCAGTTGTACTTGATGCTGATTGGCAAAACAACGATTCTTTTGCGGTCGGTTCCATTGATAACATGATTTACATTTGTAAAGTTGGGGAGAATCGACCAGTCAAAAGATTCTCAGGACATAAGGTGTGGTACCATTTCATAACGATTCCAATTTGAAACATTTTATGCACCTTTAGTGTATGTGCAAAGCGCAAACTTAATATCCTTTATGAATATATTCTTAAAGAGTTATTAACTTCGCCATTGCAGAATGAAGTCAATGCTGTCAAGTGGGACCCCTCAGGTTCCTTGCTGGCTTCATGCTCTGATGATACCACAGTTAAGGTAATTCCATTTCAGGTAGAGAGGTGGTGTAGTGTGCCACTGGCCCTCAGAGATTTGCATATGTTGAATTTTAGCTTCACCTATTCTGCGCTAGGACTTTGAATATGTTGTTTCCAAGGAATTATGTTTATTGTGTTGTATAATAAAATTCATTGTTTCTGTGCAGATATGGAGCATGGAACAAGATGTCTGCTTGCATGATTTCAGAGAACATTGCAAAGTATCACATAGAACATCATTATTTCTATTTTTGTTCTTTCTTTGTGGTCATTGTTGATTCATTTAATCAAATCAGACATTAGTTGCTGACTATTATGTCTTTTTAGGAGACATATACCATCAAATGGAGCTCAACTGGCGCTGGTACAAGCAATCCAAATCAACAATTGTTGCTGGCAAGGTATATATCTATTGCTACCAGTCATGTTTCTAGCCCCTGCTCTGATTTATTGTTTTATCTTGGAAGGCGATTTGGTCAGGATAGGAATCTTGGATTACAAATTAACCCCTTTTATATATTTTCCCTTTCGTTCTTCATCATCCTCTCCCTGGATCCGTGACACCCCCTTCCACAGCAGCACAACAATCCCCTTGCAAGTAAAAATAATCCAGAGAGATAAAGTTTTACTTTAACCGTCCAAAAAATGGATTTTTGGTGTGTGCTGATTTAATGTATTGCACCTAACCTTTTTTATCTCTTTGAGCTGATTTTGTTTTATTGTTTGTCTGTGTAGTGCTTCATTTGACTCTACTGTGAATCTATGGGATGTTGAACAAGGTCGTCTTCTTCACACCTTGAACGGTCACAGGTAATAGATGTGAACTCATTATGTCTACTTCGACACAAGAGATATTAAGGCACTCTTAATGAAATTTCACTTTTTAACTTGCATATACGGGCTCAAGTACTATGGGGTTTGCTTACTCGTGCTCAATTGAACTATCGATACCTATATACCTATTTGAGTGGGGATATGAGGGGAGGGGAGTGAGAATGAGTTAATTGTGTATCTTTCTTTTAGATTATCAAATGTTTGTATCGTTCTTGTTGAATGTTTTTGTTTCTTTACTGAGTAGATTCTCTTGCATTTTGAATCCAGGGAACCTATTTACTCTATTGCATTTAGTCCAAACGGGCAATACTTGGCAAGTGGATCAGTTGATAAATGCATGAATATATGGTCAGTGAAGGAGGCCAAGATTGTAAAAACCTACAATGGGGATGGCATTATTTTTGAAGTATGTTGGAACAAGGAGGGCAACAAGGTTGCAGCTTGTTTTTCAAACAACAAGGTTTGCGTGTTTGATATTCGATTATGAGATTTAAAAGGACATGGGAGCATGACATGAATTTCACAATTCAAGAAACTCTACCTTGTAGAAAAGTTTTTTATTGATTCATCACCATGTGTTAGATTTATCTGTATTGGACCCCGACTAAATCATTATGGCTTTGATTTAAACTTAGGGTTGCGGTATTGCTTGAATAGTTGTTCTGATTTTCTTCTTTTTGTTGCTTGTAAGGAAATTGACATGGTTGTGATTATTCTGATTATGTGTAATTTAACCAGATTGTTAATTCCTTGCTTGCAATTGAGCGAAAAAATCTAAGGGATCGTTTGGTTTACAAACAAGTCATACTGGATTATTGCGTGGGAATTATAATATAGGGATTTAAAGCATATTACTTTAGTTTCTTTTTATTTTTAATATTAGGTGAATGAATATCTTTTCATCATTTTTTGCCTAAAGCATCTACATGCATATAAATAACCTCCTTTTGAAAAGTACAAAGTTTGTTCCATCAACTTGATATTCTAACTTAGGTTTCTCTTAAATTACCAACATCAATTTTCCATTTTAGTTAATTTATGCACTTCTTTGGACATGTGGTATAAGACGTTTGATATCATGCTTTTTTTCATTGCTTTATCAATTATATAGAGGTTCTTTTTCAGCTTAATACATAATAATCTCGTTAAACTTGTAAAAATATTTCATTTAGACATTAGATCTTAGTCATGTTTCAATTTAACACTTCAACTCATGATAAAGTGTTTCAATTAGACTCTTTCAATTTCAATTATCTAATAGACAAATGAAAATACATACATAAGTTTTTATAAAAATTGAATTGAAAGTGTCTAATTGAAACACTTTATTAGGAGTTGAAATGTATAATTGAAGACATAATACATAAATGTGCCCTCCAACTTGGAGCCTAAGTAGCCGGCACAATGGGAGTTGCTACAGTACCTACCAACCACTCAGGAAAGCTAGCACCTACTGAACAACCTCAGAAGTCAGAAGTAATAGGGGGAGGCCTGCACCCCTAACCTGTGTTGCCACATCTGGTTCCGCACCCTCCTCATATGTTACCTCAACATCCTTCTCAACAAGATTTTCTGGTGGGGGAGGGGTCACTGGTCTCGGCCCAGTCGCTGCCTGAGCTCCACCCCTAGCAGGTGTTGCTATTCCTCTGCCCCAGCCCCTTCCTCTACAGTCTACCCCTACCCCTTCATTACCCTCGAGCTATTAGTTCCGCAGCTAGAGCTGGTTTCCTTATTCTGTTGTATCTGGTGCCAACCATCCTTAGACAAAGAATGAAGGAAGTCATATATAAATTTGGATCGTCAGATACCAATTGGAATATGTTGGAATGTATGCGTTCACCAGTGATCACGGGACCAGGTCCCTCGATAGAATAACAGTGCAGAAAATAAATAGCACAATGTAAAACAAGCACAAAAGTTTTACGTGGAAACCTCCTTGCTCAGGGGAGTAAAACCACGACCTGTCACACATGACTTTCAAACTGTTTTCACTAATCTTCTTAAGCAAAAGCGAAACATAGTTTACACCACAACAATGAGATTAACCTCCTAATCTCACACTAAGTAATACAACTATTACTTAAACGAGCCTAAGCAATGCCTGCATTGCCTACTATACTAACCCTCAACGATTAATATAGACTTTTACAATAAGACACAAAGTTACCCCTAACTATGTTCTTACAAAGATTCATACAAGTTTTGAAATGTTTCTAACACAAGTGAAACAAATCCTACAAGTTAAGCTCAAATACAAACAATCAAGAACAACAGCAGATACGGAAAGCTCTTCTTCAGTTGATCAGGTCCTTGTTGTATGTGTTCTTGTGCTTGAGTTCTTCCTTGAAGATGGCGTTGTCTTTTTAAGCTTGTGAGATTTTGATTGCTAAATCTTGAGTTTGTGTTTTTGAGAAGAGACTATATGAAATCAACACAAACTCGTTGAGACAACCTTATTGGCTGAAAGCCTGCTGTTTAGAAAAGCTGTGCACCTACCACATCAGAGGTGGCGGCTTTTCTGACAGTTGTCTTGTCACATTTTCATGTAAGCAATCTTGCAGGGACCAGGTCCCTGGCAATGTTCTTTGTGATTTATTGAAAGGCTTGCTGGCTCACTTCCTCCTTTGAATGAATGAATTTAATATGTTATTTGGCATGTTGAAAATATCAACCATAAAGAGTTATTACCCGTTGGACAAACACCCTTGTCCATTCTGATTGGTTCAGTACGCTTGCGCCTCACCAACCACTGACAGGACAGCTTTACAGTTGTACCCCATTATGCATCTGATGGAGAGAACTCTGCCAGGGACCAGGTCCCTGCATTGGTGAGCCACTGAAACAGACAGTCTCGTCCGCTCTTCCTATTGGTGCAGTACACTATACTTTTCACCTACCACCTGACATGACAGTTTTACAGATGTACCCCATTTGAATCTGGACGAGAGCACTCTGCTAGGGACCGGGTCCCTGCATTTGTGAGGATCATCAAAACACCTAGAATATAACAGAATCAAGTCATAACACAAAGAAAGAAAAGAAGAGATGATATCCTAGAGTCTTGTAGCCTCCTGAAGAAAATTACAAACGTCTCCATCGTTTCACAAGACTCTAATAAACTTGTTTTGGTACGACGAGATCAACGAATCCAGGGATCTATGCCATCTTTGTCACAACCCAACTCGTTGTGAGAGACACCCACACTAAACTCCCGATGGGAGAACCAATTATCTACTAACATGCAATCAACTAAACAACTAGAAGTAACATTTTTCAACAATTAAAACAAGTCGCATAATGAAAGCCCATTATCATAAAAAATTTGCGGAAATAACCCCCCTAGTACCGAAAATTCGTGTATCAAAATATTTACATAGTTTAGAATATGGGGATACAACCCCAAAACAAAAGAAGTCTATATCGAAAAATGGACTACAGGGAAAAGATTAACCCATAGCATCTCGGAAGAAACAACTCACCCTTGGATTCAGAAAGTGCAGATTCACAATTGATGTCGCGCACCAGCCGCTGGAATATGCTCTATAGTCAACAAAAGAAGAGAAAGTGTAGTATCAATACACAAAATCAACGATGTACGAATAGGATCATCGGTTAGCTCCAATTATAAGAATATGAACCCGTAACCAAAACTTAGTAAAACAAGACAACATGATCTTATAGCCAGAATCAGTAACACAAGCATGACTCTCAGTCCTCATTCTGACTTAATAATCACAAAAAATATGGTACTTGGCCAAAGGTTTATTTCCACACAGATCGATGGAAACATAAAAACAAGGCTCTTATTTGGTCCACCACATAAGCAAATCCTTGTGCCCATTTATCTTCTTCTCCAATTGCAATATAACGTACAGAAAAGCCTTGATAGTAAGTGAACTTGGAACATAAATGTCAACAGGGATGATCCTGTCAAAGCAATAGAAACATTCTCCATTTCGGAGCTGATGATACTGACGAAATTCCATTTTGAGACTCGTAAATCTGGTTGTTACCAAAAAAACACTTTTAACAAAGTTTAGACCTCCAAAACTCAAAACTCCCAAAAATCACAGCTTTTCAATCAAATTTCAAAACCAACTTTGCAAACTGATCAGAAATAACTCGAGGGCAACTATCAGAAGGGGTAAAACGATAGTTCTCCGAAAATTTCCAAAAATGACCTTCAAAATCATTACACAGTGTTCTCTAATTTGCAAGAGATCCATTTGACTTTCGATAGATCATTTGCCAACTCATTTCTTCGATTTGAAGTTCTTACACATTTTTGAGTCTCCTATACTATATGATAGTGTGCTTAGTTTATGGAAAGCCACATGCAATGTCTACCAAAACACTTCTTATAATCTAATGATGAAGGGATGATCATTTAAACAAAAAATTACTTCACATACACATCCTAACACACAGTTTAAGGGGATCTCAAACACTATATATAGTTGCACGAAGAAATGGAAATTTATTGAGTCGTTTATCTCTTGTTGAAGAATAAGAATCATATTCCTATTTAGAATGGCTGGTTTGTCATCACGTTTTGTTGGAGTAGTGGTATTGTTACTTGTTCTTGTGAGTGGCATCGTTTCAGCCAACATGGAAATGGGAAACAGGCGTTTGCTTGATTTAACACGCGGTGGCGGTGTTGGTGGTTTGCTTGATGGTTTGCTTGGGGATTTGCTTGGTGATGCTGCCTCTGCTGGTGGTGGAAATTA